ATCTCAATTCCTGCTGCCTTTAGAATAGCACTTGAAACTTGGGCGTCATGGATTGAGAGAGAGATTGATAAAAATAGAACACGCATCTTCTTCAGGACTTTTGAGCCATCTCACTGGAGGTATTCCTACTTTACTGTTAACATGATTCTCTATTTAAGCATGTTTAGCTTTCTTTATATAATTTAAAACTATTCCTTTTTTTCTTGGTAAACTTTTCCTAAGAAGTAAGAACTCTGTTCTATTATTCTGAATATCAGTTCCCTGTTCAAAATAACTTACATGTAGCATATTTTTCTCAGTTTAAGGAACTTCTATTCATGCATGGGAATTTCTATCCTTTGAAATCTCACTTGTTGGCCATGCCTTATGTATAACACAATCTTTTCTGGTTAAAATCTGCTCACTTCAACAATTATTGATCCTGGCCTTCATGATTGCTGCAGTGATCTTACCCGTAGGATTTGCAATGTGACCCAGTACCCGACGTTAGAAACTAGTGGAAGGGACCAAAGCTTGTTTTCAGATACAATTTTAGAAGTTGTAAAGAATGTTACTATTCCTATAAATGTTCTCCATGTTACCTCTATGTCTGCTTCCCGGAGTGATGCACATGTTGGTAACTGGAGTGACAACCCATCCATTCAAGATTGTAGCCACTGGTGTCTTCCCGGGGTGCCCGATATGTGGAATGAAATTGTCCTGTCCCAACTTTTTCATGAATCTGGAATCCCTTTTCAGCAAATTGAATCACTCGGTAAGTTCAGTTATCTTCTAAATAATTCTAATACTCTTTTTTACTTTTGCCTGGGAGCCTAGGGTATGATTCAAGCATATTCACGATTGGCTAAAATGCACAAACTTCCCTTGACTTTTATTAGTGTGGTGTCACTCACCCTATGTTTAGTAATTGGACATATATTTCCTCATCTACCTTTTATCTAAATTGATAATGAAACCATCATACATAAAAGAATTGTAAAACATTTACTTCTTACTAGATTTAGTTTACACAAATCTTTAATAGTTTTTTTTGTATTTAAAATAACTTTAGAGGCTTTATGTTAGATACTATTTATTTAGATTGAATAATAGTAATAAAGCCAAGACATTGCTCAAATGTCAATATTTTTACAGTCAATATGTAGAGATCTAAAAGAAAAGGGGTCAAGGTATGTATTTTCCTAATCAAGAGAAAAGTGTAATTTCAAGAACTATGTGCACTTAAATGTAACTTCGTTCAGCCACAAAAGAACTACTTGACATTGCACTTTGTAGATCAATCTGCAGCCATTTAATAAATCTTTTAAGGCTTAATTATGTTTTTAGTTCTTCAAATTTAGCACATATATTTTTCCAGTCCCCCAAGTTTAAAACTTATGTTCATAGTCCCCAAAATATCAAAAAATATTATTTTGGTCCCTCAAATTTAAAATTTATCTTTTTAGTTTTTGTAATTTCAAAAAAATATTGTTTTAATCACTGATAACATAACTGGAAGTGAAAAATTGAAAGGGACTAAAATAATAATTTTTTGATATTTAAGAACTAAAGACACAAGTTTTAAATTTGAGAGACTAAAATATTTTTTGAAATTATAGAGACTAAAAATACAAGTTTTAAATTTGAGAGACAAAAGGTATATATATTCCAACTTTAAGAAACTAAAAACATTTAAACCATCTTTTATACCATAGGACCTTTTTATTTCACTTTTTGTTTGATATGCTAGTCTTGTGTTAACGTATAGTAACTTATGCCACTTTATGTCTCAGTACCTTTCTGTTCTCAGGTTGACCTATGCATGGTAGAGTAGCTATGTTGTTGTTCTCATACCCTGCAGTAAAGAGATTTTTTCCTTTTCTTTTTCTTTTTCTCAAATCAGATGAATTTAGTTATAACTTTTCTTTTAGGTCAGATACTCTACATGTTTCTACTTCCCACTGTGTCTTCAGTCATAAGCTCATAAAGAACCCCATATCAAAGAGAGAACGAGCATACTTGTCTGAGTTGTCTCTTACCTTCTAATTCTTCATTTTTTGAAAAGAATTACATTTCACATATTTTATTTCTGGGTGCAGATTCTGGAGACTAACATTCTTAGTAATTGCAAGCCTACCTAAAAAAATTCAGATGCCTCCCAAGAAGCATGTATCAGATTCTAACACCATAAATCTGGAGTCATCTCATTCTGCAATTTTGACCCCTGCAATCTACCACAGTTTCTTCAATACTCAACTGCACCAGATTTTGTAAAAGTAATGCCCAAATACATATACCAACTTGTCAAAAACAAATGAAACAGTAATTTTTAATTTTCCAATTCTTTTGTATCTCAGAAAATGAATTGTCTGGGATGCATGTCATGATTTTTGGTTTTGGTCATGACAATACTGTTGTTCAGCATAGCAAAAGAGAAAGAGAAGGGTAGTATGAGTCAATCATTTTCATTTTTCAGATTCCCCGATCTTCATTATGTCACATTGCTCTTTATTTGAATAGTGTTTAAAATTTTGCTTTATTTGGATGTCATTTTGATTTTGGCCTTGTGAAAGAAAGAGGCGCCATTTGACAGGATCAGTCATGGTATCATCCCTATTCAGACACTTGATGTTCACATCTGTATCTGTATTATGCACAAGGCAATGCATTAAGAACAACCATTGATAGGGTGGAGATCGATCCACTCAAGTCAAGTGTAATCCTTTTGATAACCCAGTGAAGTGGATAACTTAAAGTGTATTAAAATTACAAAAAACTAGAAAGCATAACGTTACAGAATATTAGCTGCATATGGTGAAGGACAGGTACAGTCCATAAAAGCGGATGTGCACATTCCTGAAGTTGATCAGTTGTTGAATCTACATATCCATGGCTATGGGATATTCGTTTGTTTCGCACGTGGAACATAATCATCCTTAGCTTAAAGGTATGTTTCTGTTAGATTTACATCACCATACAGGCAAAAAAGACATGATACGAGGCAATTTTTCCAATAAAGGAAAATTTCATTGCGTTCTCTTAACTGCCTTTCTTGTGAAATTGGCTGTCAGATAATGAGAAAAGACCAAGTGAGAACAATCATTCAAGAATCTTTGTTCAATCAGAACGGTTATTCGAGTGTTTTCAACACGATTGATGTATATCCAACCTTTTTTATCATTGTCAAGTACTATTCAATTTGTTAGATATATACCAATGCAAATATATAATATCTGTTTTAATCAATTTCCATTTACTACTTTACATGGATGGAACTCTGATTCTACAATAAAAATGTGTAAATTTTATTATGCAACGTATAACCTGATATACATCATACATGGCTAATTTGATTAACTATTTTGATAAAATAATCCTCTTATAGCTTAACTTGGGAAAAAACCTTGAGCTTAACTTACGGGGAAAAACTGAGCTCATCATATGGAAGAAAAAATAAATATTTCCTTGAAAAATAAGCTGACCTAATTATGCCCAGTTGAACGGTACCTGTCAAATTAGGCAAATTTTATCTTAAATCTGACACAAATCCAATCTATAAATACATGTAATCAATATGATCAAAAGATATGCTATCTTACCAAGCTTTGGAAATGGTATTTTGCTTCCCCCTTGTGTTTGCCTTATGTTATCTTATTAATATTCTTTTGAACATCACAAATTTTAATAAATCTTACTATTAAAAGTCAGAAATTTATTAAATAAAATATAAAACCTATAAAATTTATTATTTCAAATAAATTCAGCCGACATCATTCTTTTATTTTATCTTCCAACATGAGTAGTATAATAATAAGTCCCCAGAGTACTCCAAAAATGAAGATTGTTTTCATTAAATATTATATTTGGAATCTATATTACAGAATATGTCAAAGAAAACAATGAGAAAAGGGGGGAAATATGACTTCCAAATAAATGAAGCGCAAAAAGATGTATACAGGCGAGCATGGATGGAAATGAAAATTTATGGATCAATGGCAATAGGAGTGATACGCTTCCTGGCTGGCTTATTTGAAGTGGGTGTACTCTTCGAACTGGACAATTGTTGCCCTGCCTTTTCTTCTGGCCCTGATTTTATACTATCTAAACTTGATTGCAGTTTCTCTGTCTTCTCCTTCGCTTCCGTTTGTTTAACATCTAGATCTGGATTAGCTGGCTGTTTCTCTGCCTTGTATTGTACTCCAAAATTTACAGTACCCAAATTCCGTGGTTCTTTCTCTCCCTTACCTTCTGGTTCAGCTTTTCTACAATCTAATTCAGCAGCACCAATACTTCCAGTTGTTTCAATAACCATGTCATCAGTTTTCTCTTCTGATTTATTTTCCCTACTATTTTCTCTAACCGCTTCCACAATCCCGGTTGTCTCATTCTCTTGTGTTACAGTTGTCCCGCTTTCTGTTCTGACAGCCCCAATATTCCCAGATGCTTCAATGACCATGTCATCAGCCTTCTCTTCTGAATCCATTTTTTTGCTCTCTGCTAGAACTGCACTAACATTCCTAGTTGATACAGTGACAGTGTTATCGACTGTCTGTACAGTGCCTTTACTATCACTGTTTGATACATTTCCTTCTAGAAAAAAAAAAGGTAATAAAGTAAAAAACCTCGACGTGGTGACAATATGACAGCAGAAAAGGTAAGGCTGCTTACCTGATAAAGAGTAAGGTGATCCGAGCTCATCATTTTCGAATTCCACTAAAGAGCAGAAGCCATCTTGTGACGACAATGCCAAATAATGAGCATCAGATGACCTTGTGAACAAAAATACCAGTTAAGAGTTAAGCCTGCTCGTAAAAATCATCTTAATTCTCAAACCTAAAAAGGAAGTGCTACAAACTAAAAAATTTACCAGGTAATATCTGTTATTGCAGCATAGTGAAGACCAGCTAATATAGCAATTGGAGAGGTGCTCTCCGTATCATAAATGTACAATGAATTCAAAGTGGCCACAGCAAATATGATGCGATATGGGAGCTTAAATAACCCAGCTGCACTAAACAAAATCAGCATTATGCAACTCGAGCAATAAATTCTCAAAAACAGGCAGAATTTTAAGAAATTCTAATTGGCAGTGCAAATCTCAAATTTATGCTGAACCCCATGCCAGTCGGGCATTTCAATTGTAACAGTACAATCTAGCACCATTTATATATAATAACTGTTCATAAATACAAGTATACCACGTACACAAATACCTGAGTTCATTCCCCGAAGTTTAAAAAATATGGGGCAGAACCGGACAGCTACAACAGCTTTGCTTGCACAGGGAAGCTGTATAGCAGGCCTGTATACAAGGTCAAATAATAAACACAGCATCACAAATACATACTTTTGTAACTTGATTCATTAATTCAATTGATTAACATGAATAATTAAACACAAAAGTGGTGACAGATAAATGAGCAGAGAAAGAAATGCTTCTGATAATAAAACCAGTATAAGGATGAAGAGAAACTGTATTACTATAAAATGCAGGGAAACTCTTTATATGATAATAATACTGACTTGAATTAAACCCTGAGTGCTCCCTCTACAAAGAAACAACCACCCCAAGGAAAACCTCTCCCCTAGTACCAGCCCTCCCTGTTCGACTCTCCACCTCTCCACTATATGGAAATGATTCCCTATCTCTCCCTCCACTCTCTAATTGCCACCTGTCCTTTTTGTTTTGTCCCCCTTTAACAGTTTCTCTCTCTCCCTTCTCTGTTGTTGCTACGTTTTCCTTCCTTCTTGCATATACTAGTGGGCTCACTCTCTTTCTGGCCCATTGTTCTCTTCC